TATATATATATTTATTATGTCATAACAAAAGCACACATAACAGATACATATCACATGTTAAACTATGAAAAGGCAATAATCTGAGGCATCAGCATTGCATCTAACCACAATGAATAAAATGAGATGCATAAGTTTAATGTGGGTGTAATGTGGGTAATACATTTTCATCATTATTACCAAATTATTTGAACAGTTCATATTATACCGGTACATACAAATGTAAATATATTACCATAAAAAAGCTCAACCTGCTGTAACTTAAAAATTGGTAAACTGCAAACATGAGTACAAAGTAAACCCTGGGGTGCCTGTACATACTTCTACATTTCTGCTGGAGTGCCCCAGAGTTCACGGGGTCACTATGTTATGTAAACACCATCTTTAGAAAGGCAAGTTGAGCTTGGCTCTAACTTCTCCCAGTCTTCACTCTTGGTCCATAACCATAATGGATGACTTTACTGACCAATAGCAAGGCATGGGAGGAGGCGGAGCAAAGTTTCATGTCTTTCGGGGTTTCGTAGTGGAGATAATAATGGTTCACTAATTTTACATTATAAAGTATATCCAGCTGTCTTTATATACTACATAGTGTTGAGTCATCGGAAAACAGTTTGGTGTCTCAGTTTTTTGACCCTATGGAGATTTACCTTCGTCACGAGACAGGGTCACATAGTTAAACAACTGTGCAAATATGAGTCATCTAAGAATTCACTGAGTCATATTGATGTGTTAAATGTGACAAACAAGTGCTGTTCCTAGGGACAATAAACCAGAAAACTGCCCTGTAAGCGGAGATAGTTTTTTTATGAGTTTAAAAAACAGAAGTAGCCACAGCTCAAAGCAGAATTTCTTTTGCCGTTAAAAAAAGGGAACCACTATGTCTATCAACTTCTTTAACAGCTGTTTGATTATTTATTATAAGCCCATTAGCCTCGAATATATTATCCCAAAGTGCCTTACTATGCCAACCTCAACAATAATTAGAATATACAATGAATGTCTTTGTTTAAAGTATGTAAGCCTCTGGAAAATGGTAAAAGAATGCAGACAAAAATGCCTAGCTTGCAAAAGATCAAGGTCAAGCTATTAAGCAGAATCAAAGAGGCCTAACAGAAAATATTTTGTAGAATTATGATATTGTAAGCCACAGTAGTATAGAAATACAGAAAATCCAGCTTCTGTGGAGAAGGAGATAATATATTCTGGACTGCTGACTTGATCTTTTTGACATAACTGCTCCCTGAATTTGAGAAATTTGAGCTACCGTATATACTCGAGTATAAGCCGTCCCGAATATAAGCCAAGGTACCTAATTTTACCAAAAAAAACTCGGCTTATACTCGAGTATATACGGTATTAAGAAAAAAATATTAAAAATATATAGGTAATATATTGAAGTTACAGAGGCACCTGCCCTCTCTAATGAACCAATGCTCACTGACACTTTGCTGACCAATCAGGCATTCCCTGAAGCATTTTTAAATACCAGAAATCAGCCAATTATTTTTGAAATGTTGGCATGCATGCACTTTTGGTGCCCCTTGTCTGATAGAACACAATAACAGTGCTTAATTAGTATAATTACTGGTGAGGGTACTGCGACATTTATATACTCATTAATTAGAAAAATGACCAGAAGAAAGTATATTGATTGTTCACGGTATCTGAGACGCTTTAGTCGTATTATATTTACTGCAGAATCTTCAGGTGTTTAGAGTGAGCCAGTTGTAGTCACAAAATGTGCATCTATCTACCCATCTATCTATCTTTGTCTTTAAATCAGTTTCTTTGTGATTTAGCGGGACCCTTTGCCTGAGGTCCTGTCTGTATACAGGGCCTTACATTTTTCTTCAGTATAGGAGTAAGTTCCACCCCTACTGGCTCCAAGCCCTGTAGTCCCCTGACATTAAAATGGATGAAGACCCCGTACCAGCCCATAAGTTTCTTCAAATGGACAGCTGAATGAAAGTGGGTGAGGTTTACTATGAGTAGTGGGGGAGACGTAAAGTACATCTAAAGCATCCTGCATGACCGTCTAAACAAGTACAAACGCCAGTTATTATGTGATGCCACGCCACATGGAAGTAAAAAAAAACAAAAAAAAAAACTTTCTTTAACTTTTCTGGCTGGGCCAAAGCCTTCTTTTTTCTGCATCTCACATGCTCCTCTCCCAGACACTGCAGATCAATCATAATTGGAGGGTCCAGCAACAGAGGCAGTGCAGTCAATCCAGAAAGCAGGACTAGGGGGCGCATCCTTGATACCGCTCCGCACTTCTTGAGCCGTGAGACACCCATTTCTGCTATCGTTTAGCCAGCTGGGTCGGTTCCCCGGGCGGATCGAACACCTACTCACCCCCGGCATCCAGATGAGGTCCTCGCAGTCCAAATACAAACGAGGCAAACAACCTCCTGAGACCCCTCGTACGCGCCGCGCTCTGGGCAAGATGGCGCCCGGCGGCCTACATGATGACGACGACGCTCCTCGCATGTCGGCTGACTCCGAGGACAGCCAGGACCCGTTTGCTGAACATCTATCGGGATCCCGAGGATCACATGCCCCTGACCTCTTCGTGCGGATGCGGGACATGGTACGGGAAGAACTTTCCAAGGCCTCCGCAACCATGACCTCGGAGCTCCTTGCGGGAAATCAGAGAAATCGGGCACCGTACAGCTTCCTTGGAATCGCGTATGGATGATGTGACTACCATACTGGAAGGCCACGAAAAAGACCTGGAGACCGCCCAGACGGAACTTTCCCTTCTCCGTGACCAGCTGGAGGATCACAAGAACCGGGCCCGGCGCAGTAATATCCACGTCAGGGGCCTCCCTGAATCCATTGAGGATCTCGTGGGCTCGGTCACCGCGCTGTTTCAGGAATTGGCCCCTGATCTTTCTACGGACCGGTTGGAGATGGATCGCATTCACAGGGCGCTCGGACCCCAGAGGTCGGATGGACCGCCACGGGATGTGGTGGTTAAGCTACATTACTTCCGCACGAAGGAGCGACTCTTGCAGGCCGCAAGACAGATGCCGGCCTTGTCCTTCCAGGGTCACCCCTATAGTTTGTATTCGGACCTGGCCCCTTCAACCATCTTGAAACGCAGAGTCCTGCGGCCCTACCTGCAGGTTCTCCGGGATGCGGGCATCAACTATAGATGGGGGTTTCCCTTCCATCTCCTCTTTACATACCAGGGGAAATCCTTCCAGCTCCGGTCTCCTGAAGACGTGCGTTCTTGCCTCCGAGAGATTGGCCTCCAGGTTCCAGCGGAGCCCCCTTCCTCTTCCCCAGGCTCGCAGCCTCGTCAACGGAATGGCCAGGCCTCCCAACGATCCCATTCATCACAGGGCCCACACGATCCTGGCCGCTCACCATGGACATCCCAGGCCCTGCAACGTTTAGGCTCCCAAGTTTTTCGCAGCAAGCCCAACGGATGATTTTCTTCCCTGGTCCGCACACCGCGGCCTTGTATTAAGCCCTTGCTGTTTCAGCCGTTTTGCCGTGTATGCCCAGACACCCTGACGACCCTTTACCAGGCAGGTATTGCTCCGTGCCCCCTAGGGTGGCTGCGTCTGGCTTACATGAGCATATGCTGACTGTCGGATGCTCCCTTATTTTTATTTTGTTTTTTGCATCACATGTGACCCCGGAGTCCGGTTGTGTTGTTTTGTTTTCTGTTTTTTCGTTTTGCTACTTGCTTTAGGACTTCCAGGAATGCCAATTGGAGCCCCATACCCCGACAGATGTTTTCTATCTGATTTGGGTCTCGTTTTGATTTAAACACCTTTAATTTTTTTTTAAAATCCAGCTTTATTAATCAAAGATGCAAACTGACACAAGT